ACCGATTTCAAGCTTATTTCTCCAATGTATACAATGTGATGTTCTACGTGAGAAAACGAGAGTCTGTTCCTACTATTTTTACGTTTTACGACTGTCATCAGTTGCCCACTACTCAAAGAACAGTCAGTCGTTCGAAAGCAATCGTTCCAGTCGCTAGTGAAAACAGACGATTATTTACTCCCAATATTTTTAATAACCTATAATTAAAGATAAAAAGTACATGAAACAGCACGGCGATTTGTGTCTGTTAACGTCAATATTCTAATCGATACGCGCGTATCTACGTATGCGTGACATTTGTGGCGTTTCACTGCAAAACACGTACGGATATAAAATTCTGAATGCGCAGCGTGTGCTTGCCATAACAAGCCAATGACATCGCAATAATCGACGATATAATGTAATAATGTAATTCAATAAATCGAAGTATGCTAACGGAAAGATCATAAGCGACATCAAAAGAAAATACGAAGATACTGGGGAATCGAGATGGGTTCTGTTCTAAGCTACTTTTTCGGCTATTCGGACAGCGATACGATAGATCCAAAAGTTGGACTGACCAAAAGAGAAATGAGGCTCGTGAGAGAAACGTGGAACATAGTGCGCGTACATTCGGTCAAAGCTGGCGTAACTATTATGGCAAGGTGAGACAATTTACCGCTAATTAAACTAATTGACAGTTGAATTACCGGCGTTGAAGCTAGGACATAAGATTAACTATCGCGACGCAGTATTAATATGGAAATTCTCCAATGTTCAATGAGGCCTGCGTATATACGAGATTATTTTGTTTCAGCTATTTCAGCAAATATCCGCGATATCACCAAGTGTTCCCTGCGTTCAAGCACGTCCCTGTAGACGAGCTAGCGGGCAATAAAAAGTTTCAAGCTCACTGTCAAAATATCATGAGCACATTGAGCAATTCGATCGATGCTTTGCACGATGCTGACTTGATGGACGCGATATTGCATTCCACCGGCGAGAGACACGGCCGACGAGGCCAGGGTAGACAGGAATTTATCGTAAGTTCGTTTTGTTTTCTTTTACCATGCTATATGCTCTGACGATTAAATTTTTTTTTTTTTTTTACCGAGGAAATAATTGTCGCAGTCTGCGTGCAGAGGTTTGTGTTTAGATAAAGGACGCGTTGTACATTCTCTTCTTTTTAATTTACTAACTACCGAAGCTTTTGACAAAGCCGTTGATATTGCGTAACATGTTATAGATGAGCGCATCCTCCTCGATTATGTATACATCTCAAATTTTATTTCTAAATATATTCTCGTTTCTCGTGCAATTTTATCACTCAATCAGATTTCAAAAATCATCGTTTAATTTTATCACTCAATGTCGTAATGCATCATCAACGTTGTACGTATGACGATTGAAGTATGAATCGTCAACAGAGATAATGAAACACACCGTAATTAAATTTTATCTTTCTTTCTCGTTTAATTTCAGTAGTTTCTTTCTCTCTCTCTTTTTTCTTTTTTTTTTTTTTTTGATGCAAGAAGCAAAGCTGTTGATATAATGATTTGATATATAATAATTTCTCTTAAATATGTTCTTCTTCCCTTTTCTGTTATCTGTTACTAAAATTGGAAAACTGTAACAAACGCGAGGGAAATATCAGACTCGGCGAACCACGTTATCGTTCGTTAAGGCTGCCACTTTAAAGCTATTGAAATTGAAAAGAAACTGAAACGATGCTGATGAAACGTTTTTCTACAAGGTCAAGACTCGCGACCGGAAGTCCTCGATTAGATCTTGAGACGTAATGAGCCAGGTTCTCCGCAAGGTTGTTAACTAGCTCCGAATCTGGCACTGCGTCAATAAATAAGAATATTGCAAAATATTGCAAATGCAAATAATTCAGTATTGATTGTTTAACATTCTCTATTCATATTCATATTCTACATGCTCAAGCTTGAAAGAAAAATGAAATACGCACGAGTTTCCTTTCATCTTAATACTTCGATGCGAATTTTATTAAAATATCAAACTAAGAGATATATTAAATATTGAGAAATCAAAACGAGAGTAAGAATCGTAAGACGTAAAAATTTGAATACTGTAACATTCAGGCATCTGACGTTGATATTCAATTTTAAATAATATAAGAAACTGTTTTACAAACGTTTTATGTTTATATTTTATCTCTCTATGCATTATGCTTGCACGCCGTCATTATGTTACCTTTCAGGACTTGAAAGCAGTGATGCTAGAAGTAATGAAGGACACGTTAAAGTCGAAATTTCCCGCCGAGGTGGAAGTCGCATGGAACAAAACGATCGATATTCTATTTTTAAAAATATTCGAAGGCATCGAACGCACCGCTTCCTGACAAGCACCAATGAACGATTTTTTTAATCAGCATCCGCGTCGCTATCGCTATCTAAGTGTACGTAATCGGTGGCTTCGCTGCTCGTTTCGGTAGTGTATCTGTTCTTTATTCTTCTCCCTCTCGTCTCCTCCCTTTCGTCTTCACTCCCTTGCTGCTTTAATTTTCTACGAATTAAAGCGCGAATATTGTAAAACAAGGGCAGAAATGAAACGAAACGTGTGAAACCAATAGGCGAAGAAAGAAAGTGAAGCCGAGGAATAATCGGAATAATACTTGTATTTAACTGTGCGAAAATGTTGCCTGATTCTTTGCAAGATCGTGTAACATATCAGCGTTAGCAGTGTTCCTAGCAATCCTAACAGAGTCGCCATGAGAATGACATCGACCTGCATCCAAGGATCTTCCTCCCGACGTTCGGATGGTTCGAGAGTTACTGGATAACTGTAAAAATTCATAATGGATATCGGTAATTGAGATTATACGATTATGGTACTTTTACTTTCAAAGGAACATTGTACGCGTATTAGTAAATATCTGTTAGCCATAAATAACGATAACGTCTCTATTTTTTATTTTTTGAGATACAGCGCGAAAGTTCAAAATTCCAAGAAGCAAAATTGTTTAAATTCACTTGTAAAACTGGAATGAAAAATCAGAGAAAAATACGTATAAAGGGGAAAGAAAGGAGAATATATCGTGAATATAATATGATTTTGTGGAAAAAAGGGAAAATGATAAACTTTATCGATAATGGTTGAAGATTTATATATATATATATATAATTTCATTCTAGTAGAAGAGAGTGTTTGTTAAGCCGCTGTAATATTGTATCAAGATTATTGAGTCGCTCGTTCCGATATGGTTGCGCGAAACTTACGGCAATTCTGTTTCTTCTTTGCTGAGTTCATCGAACGGCTTTACCACCGCCCTGTCGAGATCTTTCCCTATTTGCATGAACGCGGACTTGCCCAACCAATCTGCCAGATCATTTCGATTGATCTGTCGAAGCCTGTGAGCGAGGACCTCGTGCGTTTTGCCTTTGCCTTCGGTTGGTGAACTATTCCAATGCACAAGATGTCGAATGCAAGGGATATCGTCGTCCACGTTGCGCTCTTGCTCGCAAGAATTATCAATATTATTATCAGCGATCAGAGAGAGAGAGAAAGAGAGAGAGAGAGAGAGAGAGAGAGAGAGATCGAATTCTTATTCTCAGTGAGAGAGATATAACGCGGTCGTGAATTAAATTTTAGTAGTAAAAAAATATGTTATTGCATGAAACTTTCAATTGATTCATCAAATATAATTTGAAGACATCCCAGATTAAGAGACTATTATTAGCAAAAGTTAGTTATATATCGTAAATACGAATGTGGCCATAACTAGATATTGGATATTTATGCAAATTCATACTTTCATAAATTGAACGGACATTATACTGAGAATATTTTATACATAATATAAAAAAATAAACCATGAACGTTGTATTCTCAGATCTTTTTCACTCGAATTCTAAAAAGCTACGAGGAAACTTGAAAAGAATTTGAAAAATCGACAAATATAATAGAAATATTAATTGAAATTGATATGATTCTCTATCAAACTCCAACTGTCCAATCGCTCAAGGTGGATTTACTTTAGTTTCTAACTGATCTCACGATCGATATTACATTTCTTTCAATCGAAAAATGTTATCGTTGTTGGAAAATCAGTGATCGGTTTACCAGCGTCTGCTAAATTGTTGGGTAGCTCGTAAGTTGTGTAATGAAGTGCAGCTATCAAGCGTCGGCACTCGAAAGGATTAAGACGCGCGGCTAAATACTGCAGTTCGTTTAAATTGACGTCGATCGTGCCGAGGACATCGTATCGCGATAGAATAACGATGAGGCTTAACCGTACGGCCCACTCGTGCGTCCTTGATAATTCCCTCATTGCCAGGTTAACAAATCGAGACGCAAAATAATTGTTCTTCGCTTTGTTTCGCGAGAAATTGACTTTCGCCAGACTCACGACTTCACAGAGTGAATTTTGACAAATTTCAAACAGAACAGAATCAACTTCAGACGATTTGATAATTTGACCAACATCGGACGATGTTTGATGATTAATAATTTATTACAATAATTGTTGAATCTATGCTTGCGATAAATGTAATTCTGTAGCTTCTACGCACGTTCCCGAATTGATTTCAAATTTTATCAACATACGATTTTTACTCAAATTCACGCACTCTCGAAGAAACTTGATAGAAAATTGTTTCACGTACAAAATGTTATAAACAAGTACACTGTACACTTTATATGCGTTGCACGCGTTTTCATATTACGCGCATTCTGTCAAGGACAGCAATGATCGTAATTTATAGTACAGACGGGACTTAGCTGTTTTCTTGAGAACTTTATATTTTTTAACACATGAAGGACGGGCAATGGGCCTACATCTCAATCATTTGAGAGTACTGTCATAAATTTTGGTAGGTCCTCAGGGTAAACAAAGTTCAGGTGACCCCTTGGGAAAGCGAAAGTTCACTCTTCCAGCTAAATTTTCCTTCCGCCCGCGCACGGTTTTCGAAAGGAGAAGTATAGTTTTTTTCTGGAAAGAGAGATAGACAAGTCTTGAACGGAGAAGACTTTTGGGCAGATACGAAAAGACAATCAATTCGAGAATATTGGAGAACTCAAGACACTCCTCAACACCACGTCGACTTAATCCTTTGCACTCCTTTGTCGATATTAGTTTTTATCACAGAAAAATAGTTTGGAGTGCAAAGGGTTAAAGCAACTCGGTCCCACATTGTCGCGGGTGATGAACTCAATTGTCAGTCGAATCAGACTTAACATTTGGTCCTTCGGGCCAGATTGATCGCATTAGACCTAACACATTCCTATGAAATTTTGCTGTAAATTTAAAGTTTCCTACAAATGCATAAAAATCTGCCGTCTATTTATTATCGTGTCAATGAAATTTCAGATAACAGTACTGCTCACGATATATTGACAGAATTGTTCTGTGATTGACGTTGAAATATTGTCGCGATCGTGTATGATCGTCACGAGGAAAAATTACACAAGGGAACGTTTAAGAAGTTTCTCTTTATACAGTTCATTTACGGATCTTTCAATTGTTTGTCTTAGATTAGTACATTTTTATTACATTAGCTTCATCTGTTTGGTCTTCTGGCGCTTTTCTTTCGTTTCTTCTTGAAACATCTGTAACAAGCTGGCAGCTCTGGTTCTTCCGGTTCCTTCGGCGGAGGTGCCACCATGGTGGCGTTTTCCGTGGCCGTGTGCACCATTTCGTACGACGGAGGTCGTTTCCTTTTTGCTCGTGGCTTTCGAGCGAAATAACGTCTAGACACCCCCGTATCTTCTATGAATTTACTAATCGAGAAAGAATTATTACTCGATAAATTCATTCGAATAAACGACGCAAGTCGAGGAATAATAAAATAAATCTAAAACATAGAATGATTCTTGAGTTTCGAACAGTTTACGTGAAAATAGTTCACCATTGATAAAAATATTAAATTGTTTTAATAATATATCATTTTTGTTTGATCGTTCGCAGCGATAAAATGACTGGTGGTGATTTTTGGAATGAGGATTTTAAATTAATAAAGTAAAAAAGGAGGAAAAGGAGATACTTTGATGAACATTCGCGAGAATATAATAAACGGGATAAAGGTGATAAGCAAAATTCGCAAGGAAAGAATATCTTTACTTCATTGTTCTAGTGGATAGAGAAGCTCGAATATCACATTA